CTGTAGTTTTTATTTTTTTTTAATTTTTTAAATTTATTTTTATTTTTTTTAAAGATTTTATTTATTCATTTGAGACACAGAGATACGGAGAGAGAGAGAGCATGAGCAGGGGGGAGACAGAGGGAGAGGGAGAAGCAGGCTCCCCGCCAAGCAGAAAGCCTGACACGGGGCTCGATCCCAGGACCCCGGAATCACGACCCGAGCCGAAGGCAGACGCCCAACCATCTGAGCCACCCAGGCGCCCCTGTCTGTAGTTTTTTTATTCTGCGTTGTCTGGTTACGGCATCTGGGCAATACTAGTTCCATTAAATCAAGTGGGACAGCTTCTGGAAGAGGTTCTATAAGGTCCTTCCGGTGTTCAGCAGAATTCTCCAGCGAAACCATCAGGACCAGAGATTTCTTTCTTTGGAGTTTTAAAGTTATGAATTCAATGTCTTTCATATTCATAACACTGTTCAAATGATCTACTTCAAGTTGGAAAAGTTGTGGTAGTTTGTGCTCTGCTAAGAATTGTTCCCTTTCATCTAAGTCACCAAATGTATGTGTGTAGAGTTGTTCATTCTGTTCCCTTAACATCTGTTCGGTGTTGTAGGGTCTGTCGTGATACCTCCTTTTGTCAGTCTTGCTAGAAGTCTGTCAATTTTATTGACCTTTCCAAAGAAACACTTTTTGGTTCTTTGATTTTCTCCAGGAAAGCCCTGGAACGCCAGAGCAAATGCCCAATCTGGGGAACACGCTAAGGGCATTCAAAGGGAATGAGAGGGAATTGCTCCAAGGGACCACCTGCTCTCCAAGAGCAGGTGACAAAGCCGTCCAGGGACTGAGAGAGAGGACAGCCTGAGCAGAGCAAGGGGCACTTCCGGAGTAGCCTGCTCACAGCGGGACAACAGGGCAAGGTGCAGCGGTCGCCCTGGGGACAAGGAAGGAACAGAGATAGCAGCAAGCTGGGAACAGTGGCAGGGGGGCAGGGGTGGAGGACAAAGACCATGCAGAAGGGGCACCTGGGTGGCTCAGCCATTAAGCGTCTGCCTTCAGCTCAGGTCATGGTCCCAGGGTCCTGGGATCGAGCCCCGCATCTGGCTCCCTGCTCAGTGGGAAGCCTGCTTCTCCCTCTCCCACTCCCCCTGCTTGTGTTCCCTCTCTCTCTCTCGCGGTCTTTCTGTCAAATACATAAATAAAATCTTAAAAAACAAAAAACAAAAACAAAGACCATGCAGGAGAGGGTGTTTTGGAGAGAGGCCCTTTAACTGAGGCAGAAGATGTTCTGGAAGGTGTGACAGAAGCCGAGGTCGGAGCCATGGAGAAGTTGATGCACAGATCCACCATATCTTGCTCCAGGAAAACTGCCAAAGGAAGGACCCTGAGACTATCGTGCTTGTTACTGATATTTCAGGTTGAAGAATCATTTAGACCTGGAGTCAGAAGCCAGTCTCCCCTAAGGGAAGTAAGGAATGGAATCAGCATTTACAAAGGGGTGGAGGGCACCCAGCCAAGCTGTGGTTCACACAAAAGGCAAAGAGCAGGCCCTCTTGGGCTGAAAGACCCCGAGAATTCTAGCCCCCACCCCAGCCTTTCTCTGAGACGCCCCAGCAATGAAACCCAGGTAGGCAAGAGTCTTCCTGGGGATCCCAGAGCAGAAGGCAGAGCTGGGTCTTCAAAGGCCTAGGGACACCTCCCACTGATTATCCCCCCTGGGGCCTGCACCCTGGAGCAGCCCCCCAGGCCCCATGGGAGGCAGTGGATGAGGACCCTGGAGATTCAGGCAGGGTCAAGATGGAGCCCAACAGGGGCTGCTGGGGAGCCAGGAGCACCCCCTTTAAGAGCAGGACAGAGGCAACCCTTGGTGAGAGAACACACAGAAGGTGCCCTAAGGATGGACACTACAGGACCGGCAAGTTCCAGGACTGCCTATGCCCCCAAGGCGAGAGGGCCCCCTGTCCCCCAGAAAGGGCCCTGCTGGTCACAGAGTATGGACCTGAGCCCAGGACAAATCCCTCTGGCTTATAGCACCAGCAGGACAAGCTGAGCCCTGGGTGCCAGGTGGTTGGGTGGTGGTGGAAGGGGGCAGGAGGGGGAGGACAGGGAGGGGAGGAGGAAGGAAGAGGTAGGAAGAGGGGGGGTGGAGGGGGAGGAGGAGGAGTAAAGGAAGGAAAGGAGGGGACGGAGGAGAGGGAGGGGAAGGGGAGGGGAGGGGGGGGAGGAGAAGAAGCACACGACTCCACTTTCCCCTGTTTACTGTCATCTTTCAGGAATGAACATCTCTTACGGAAAATGCTTCCCTGACGAGTGGTTTCCCCACCGCGCTTCTGTCTTGCTGTTCTGCCGTCACAGCCCAGTAAAGGGGGAGAATACCCGGGTCTGAGGGCCGGGGTTGTTTCTGGGGAGCGTCTGGTTGGAGGGAGGTGTAGTGTTCCAAGAAAAGCCTTCCCTACCCTGCAAGTTTGTGTTGCGGTCTGCGGGTAACTTAAAAAAAACCAACTATTTATAAATAGACACATGAACTCACCCCAGTCGGACGGAGCGGAAAGAAGAGGCTGATGAGCCAGGGCCCTGGGGTCATTGGCGAGCGCCGGTTGGGCCCTCTGCACGCCTTTGGGCTGCTTTCAGGGATCGACCCTTGTCCCCAAAGGCCCCGGATGCCACCAGCCTCATTCAAGGATCCAGAATTCCAGGAAGGGCCGGCTCAAGATGGGCGCTTCTGAAGAGTATGCTCACCACAGGCTGTCCCCTTCCGTCCCCAGCATCCACACCAGCGTGGCCCTCAGACACGGCTCACATGCGGCCTGCACCCACCCCTTAATATGATCCTGGAATCGGATTCTCTTTGCAGGGGCCCCCCCGGCTAGCTCAGTCGCAAGAGCGAGCGCCCCTCCATCTCAGGGTGGTGGGTTCAAGCCCCGTGTTTGGTGTAGAGAGGCCTTAAAATCTTTAAAAGAAATTCTCTTTTCAAAGTTTAGTTATTTCTCTTCTAAGCAAAATATGAAACGGACACGTTAGTGTTTCTCGCATGTTGTGGTCCCATTTTTTTTTTTTTTTAAAGATTTTATTTATTTGACAGAGAGAAACACAGCGAGAGAGGGAACACAAGCAGGGGGAGTGGGAGAGGGAGAAGCAGGCTTCCCGCCGAGCAGGGAGCCCGATGCGGGGCTCGATCCCGGGACTCCAGGATCATGACCTGAGCCGAAGGCAGACGCTTAATGACTGAGCCACCCAGGCGCCCCTGTTGTGGTCCCATTTTAACAGCTTCCTCGCCTGGGTCACCAGCAGCACTAGTGGGGGAAGGGTCCGCCGGCGCCGCGGGGGTGTGGGGTGGGGGGAGGCTGGTGGGTGCAGGCGGAGCGAGACCTCACCAGTCCTCAGTGTGGGCGGGAGCACGCCTGCCTTCTAACAGCTGTCTTGACCTTCATTTCCTTTTTATGGCCCAGCAATCCTGTGTCCTGCAGACATGCCACATTCTGGTGGCCCGGTCAGCAGGTGGTGGACGTGGGGTAGTTCCTGCCCAAGGGTCTGTGTGGACACGTTTCTTAGCTGCTGAAGCAATTGGCCCGCACTCGGCCAGTAACGGCCAGCTTCCGTTCTCTGTGCCCCAGCCGCCTTCCCCGCAGCCAGGAGCAGCCAGAGGCAGCCCGTGCGGCCCCGACCCATCACTCGGGCTGCACCTGCCGCCCCCCACGACCACCGCCGAGGCCCCCTGCTTGCCCTCCAGTCTCTGCCAGAGGAGCTTGGGGTTCCCAGGGGGGGCGGTTTTCCTGCCTCCCTGCAAGGGTTACGGTTTCAGCTCTGACATCCAGGTGTAGGATCCATTGCCAGGTGAGTTTTGTGTCCGTGTGAGGTGAGGAGGGTCCGGCGTCAGCACGCGGCACATGGATGTCCAGGTGCCCAGCACTTCTTGTTGATGCAATGTCCTTTCCCGGTGAGTGGTCTGAGCCCCCCTGTTGAAATTTCTTGACAACAAGTACTTGGAATGTAACTTTTTGTGAAGTATGAAGTGTTTCTTTAAGAAAAAAAGGCTGGGCCGAAGGCGGAATGCTGGGCCGGGACTGCAGGTGCCCCCGGGGCTGAAGGCTGGGGGCTGGCCCGGCGCGTTGCTCGGCTCTCAGGCTGGCTTTGAGTGCCCACGGAGGAAGAACGTGGGGCCCCGGGACCAGCCAGGCCTCTCCCGCCGTCCTTGCACCCTGAGTGCGGGCTCCAGGAAGCCGCCGCCCGTCCCCGTGTCATCCCTGTGTCATCCCTGCGCCGGGAAAGCTAGCGTCCCTCCCACCGCACCCGCTGCACCCAGCCGCACCACCGTGGTCCTGGCCAAACCAGTCGGGGCACTTTCTCCCCTTGGTCCTGGGAGGGAGAGGCTGGATGGAAGCTGGAGAGGGGCCGGCGTCCCGGAATGCCTGGGGCCACGACGTAGGCGAAGAGGATTCCTTGCTCGGAACCGAAGCAGCTTCAAGGGGAACACGCCCCTCCGTGGCCCAAATCTGCCTTTACGTGTCTGGGGTCTGAGGGCAGCCGCAGCCTTCCCCCTGGCCTTACTCACCCCTACCCCTCCTGTTTTATCATCGGGCTGCGGTTCTAGTTGTCTCAGTGGGGGTTCTGACCCGGGCACGGGGAGTTGTGTGCAAGCCCAAACCGCCAGAGTTGGGTCTGGCCAGGACCCTCTTTGGTGCCTGCCCCCATGCGCCCCCGCCCCCCCAGCTCCGCGACCCCAGAAGCCTCACGTCACCTTCTGAGATCCCAGGTGCCTGCTGAGAAGAAGGGCCCAGGCGTCCATGGTAACTTGGATCCAGACCCCCAACACGCACATCCTGCCCACCCCCGTCCCCTCTCCTCCCCTGGTTTTGGGCCCCCCCAGTTCCTCTGCCCACAGCCCACCCCAACGTATCCAGTCAGGGCTGGGCTTCTTTCTCCCTCTGGGCCCTCAGCCTTGCCCCCCAGAACCGGACGGCCCTCCTCGGAGGGTGCAGAGCGGGTCCTGTGGCCCCCGGACAGCACAGCAGCCGACACGCACATGCCAGACGCGGAGCACTTCACAGTCCTTTATTAACACCCCTGCAGAGCACCCCTGCTGGGGTCGGGGGGACGGGCTGCTCTGGCAGACCTCAGGCGCGGGCGTTCTGGGTCTCGGCTGTGGGCGGATGCCGCCGTCCACACGGAGTGGGCCCCCGAGGACACCCTGCAGCCTGCCTCTGCCTGGGAGCTGTGGGAGGCGGGGACGCCGGGCGTACCCCACGCTCCCTGAAGCGGCAGCCGGCTCGTGGCTTTGAGAGCTTTTGGCGAAACTACCTGCTGAAGCAGCAGGGGGCTGGCTGGACCTGGTGCCCGCAGGCCATGTGCTCACCCTCCCTCCCGGGCAGGCTGATTCTGCATGGTGCCATCTGCCCAGGGCCCCGGAGCTCCGGGGGCAGAGCTACCTTTGAGAATGGCAGAAAAGCTATGGTCCCTCTCCAGAAACAAAAGGGCACATGCACACACCTAGTTTGGTGAGCCATGCTGGGGGTCTGCACCCCTCTCCGCGGCCACCCAACTCCTAATGGAAGCGGCTGGAAGATGGGGCTGAGGGCCCCAGACTCTAGAAAGCCTGGACAGCCCACCTTGTGTTAACCAGCTACTCAGGGAGGAGAGAAAACTGAACCCAGGGCCCGACACCTCCCCTCTGAGTCATTAGTTTGCGGGGGGGCTGCCGGAATACCAGGTGGGGAGAGCCTGGGGTGGGCAGGCAGGAGGTGGAGAGGACGAGGTCACTGGAATGAGCTCAGGCCCAGGTAGGCTGGGTGTGGGCAGGAGCCTGTTAGGGAAGGCCAGGGTGGAGGTCCGGGCCCAGGAGGAGGGAGGAGGGCACTGGGGCCGCGCTCAGCCTGCTCCCGGCCCATCAGGAAAGCACTTTGATGCCGAAGTGTTTGCGGAGCTGTTCCAGAAACACAAACGTGAGCACGGTGTGGGGCATGAGGCGGATGCCTGCAGGCAGGAGGCCCTGGGCGGAGACAGGGATAACAGGAAGTGAAGGGAGCCCAGAGAGGGCCCCGCCCCCGCAGCCACGGGGGCCGGGGGGCGGGGGGGGGGGGCCCCCCGCAGGGCGGTCGCGGGGGAGCAGTACGGACCCCCGCCCCAGCTAGCCCCCTATCCCGCCCCTGCAGCCGCAGGCCCCTCCCACCATGCCCCTGGCTCCCCCCCAGCCCCCAAGCCCCCCCCCAGCCCCTGCACAGCCCCTGCACAGCCCTCCCCAGCCCCCCCAGCCCCTGCCCAGCGCCCCCAGTCCCCCCCAGTCCCGCCCAGCCCCTGCCCAGCCCAACCTTGTAAAAGGCCAGCGGCCCGAGCTTTGCTGTCTCTACTGCGCAGTGGAGAACACCCTGCAGAAAACACAAAATAAAGCAATAAAAAAAGCTGCATTTTACTTCCAGAATACAAATAACACGCCCCTCCCCCGGCACTAGCCAGGGGCCCTGTGCAGTGAGCGGCCTGGACGGTCAAAGGTCATGACAGCTGGAGAAGCCAGCAGCCGAGAAGGTCAAGGCCACCCTGCCTGCTGACACAGCGAAACCAGAAACATGCACGGGACCCGCCGGGCACCCACAGCGTGTGGGGGGCTGGGAAGAGGAGCAGGGCACAGCAGGGACACAGAAGTGGCCGTGCGTGCCTGTGGGTCACCGGGTCCTGGGCCTGCCCAGTAGAATGCGGCAGCTCACCGACTCTCACTGACTGCAGTGAACGGGCCGCCTCTGTGAACACCAAGGAATCGGATTTAAACACAGGGGGACGCCTGGCCGGCTCCAGCAGTAGGGCCCGCGACCCTTGATCTCACGGTCGCGAGTTCAAGCCCCACGCTCGGCGTGGAGCCGACTTAAAAAAAATAGTCTTTAAAAAAGGGCCAAGGGCGGCTCCATGGCTGGCTGGAAACAGCAACTGGGGAGAATGTGCTCGTGCAGGGGGGAGAAAGACTCCTCCACGTGCCAGGACAGGGACATGGGCTCACCCAGCCATGGAGCCTGGAGCCTGATAACAACAGTGTGGGGACCCCTCCCTGTCCCCCGTCCCGGCCCCCAGGCCTGTACTCCTGAGGGAGACAGTGCCTGCAGCCCCCACTCACCTGATACTCGCCCTTGGAGTTCATCAGACGCGTCTTCAGCACGTCCAGGGGCTGGCACAGGATCGTGGCGCAGCCACCCTGTGGGGAGGGGGGCTTATCACCAATGGGCCTGCCGGGCAGAGTGCGTGGGCACCTGTCATCCTCCGCCACAGACCCACCCCCATAGAAGCCCTGGGCCCGGACCCCCGGAGGCATCCTCAGGGCTATAGGACCCTGGGCTGCTGGGGACACTAGAAACCATCCCAGCTTGGGCACCGGGGCCTCAGCGCCCACGTACGTACGCAGCCCGAGAGGGACATCCGCCACACCTGCCCACAGCCTCCTGCCTTCTGAGCCCTGGCCTCGTCCCGGCGGGCACCCTCAGCTCCCAAGACTACTCAGCCTTCCCCCGCCCCCGCGCTTCCCCCAACGGCCAGGCCCAGCACTCACCGCGATGAAACTGGCAACAAAGTGAGTGAAGACACCATCAGACAGGTACCCGGTGCTGAGGACCAGCTGCTTGGCCTGATCATAGCAGGACAGCTGTGGAGGGGAGGGGTGAGCAGGGCCTGTGGGATGGCCCCCGGCCCCAGGAAGGGTAGACAGGGGCCCACAGGGACATCACCGGGACTGACCAAGTGCCTGCTCTGCAGGTCACCTCCAGTTACTGTGACCAGGCAGACGGGGGAGGCCCGGACTGGGAGGGGCCTACCCACCGCCCCAGCCCCCACCTGTGGTCCATGCCCACTGCCTTCCTCCCCCACCTCTCCAGGGGCTGAGGGCGGGCCCCCCAGATGCTGTCCCAGGAGGCCCACCACCAGCAGAAGCCCCACCTGGCCCACGGTGACAAGCATCCCTCGACTGGATGCCATGCTCGCGCCCGAGAACAGCTTCTTCAGACCCTCTGCCGGAGAAAGGAGGTCAGGCGCCCAGCCGCACCCCTCAGGCCTCCCCCCAGGTCCTGCACAATACTCCCCAGGCCCCTCCGCCTCCTTGGACCCCCCAAAGGGCCTGCTCCTCTTACCTTCTCGGGCCACCCGGTACAAGCCGTCCACGGCGTGGGCGTAGCTGCCAGGGACAGACAAGGGGCGGGGGTGAGGCCCTCCCTGCCCATGGCCCCCGGGGGAGGGTCCTCCCCAGGGAGAGCCATGCAGCTGCCACAGGGGTCAGGGGACAACAGTGCCTGAACACCGCCCCGCCGAGGCTGGGTCTGTCTGCGGGCTGGTCCTGACGGTGAGAGGGTGGGGCCTGCCCGGAGCCCGTTTTACCCCTGGACTGTAGCCAATGCCTGCTCTCTAGCTGGGGCGTCCGTCCGTAGGCAGCCTTGGAATTAATAGGATCTCAGACTTCATGAAAAATGGTATTTTTACCGTAAAAAAAAAAAAATCCCAGCCCCCAAACTTGTTTAAAGGCCCAAACCCCCTCACTTAAACTTGTAAACCATCCTTCCTGTGAACAAGTACAAGATATCAGAAAAGGGGGGAAAGTAGCCAGCCTCCATCCCAGATTCCCCCACCAGGAAAGAACCCAGAGGCCCTCCCAACTCCGGACGGATGAGGGCGCCGACAGCAGCCTCTGCCTGCTCCAGGTGACGCCACAGGCAACGAGGCCTCTTGGGACTCCCAGCCGGGGCCTGGCAGAGGCGCTCAGGTCTTCCTGCTCTGCACGCCCCGCCCCAGGCACCCCCCCAACCAAGAGCAGAACTCGCCCGCTACTCACTTGCGGCGCTGATTCGGGGGCAGCTTCATGTCATTCTGCATCCTGAAACAACCACAGGCTCAGGGGGGCGGCAGGGGGCCAAATACGCCCCACCCAGAAGCTGGCGGGCATCGGGGCTCACGCTGGCCTGCCCCCCAGTCCCCCGTGTCCAGGCCCCAAGGTCCGAGGGCTTGTTCCAGGCTGAACACACCGCAGACCCTAGCAAGTAAGCCTCCCGCCCCGTCAGAAGTCGGGAAAGACCCTGACCTTGGGTGGGGGCACACACTGACCTGACATTGACCATATCCGCGGGAGTCCCCACGAAGCCTCCAATGCAACCTGGGGCGACAGACCCCAGAGCCAACATGTGATGACTTGCAATGCCCACCTGCGCCCACCCTCCCCGGCCCGGCTGGCAGCTCACCGCTGATGGAGCCCAGCAGCACCTTCTTGTAGAAGGGCAGGGGCCCCTCACTGCCCTTGGCCACATGGTCCCGCACGGTCTCATAGATGGCGAACCGAGTCAGGGAGTAGGTCATCTGGGGGGAAAGGGGCCCAGCTCAGAGGGTGCACGTGGGGGAACCCTGCTGGGCACGTCGGCCCTCCCCACCCCAGCCCTTCTGGTGCACAATCATCACGAAATGGGCCATGGGGACAGTGAAGGACCCTCCCAAGGCCACACTGTCAGCGAGTGACTGAGCCAATTCACAAACCCGGGGCTGGTTGAGTCCAGAGTTTCCCTCCCCAGGCTCAGTTTCCCCATGTCTAAGTGGAGGTCTTGAGCCAGCTGTGAGAGCAGGGCTGGCCCGGTGGAAGGCAGAAGCACATCCCAGGCCACCACACCCTGCCGACTCCTGGGGCCGTGTGGTTCCTTTCTCCTACCCAGCCTTGAAAAGGAGGACACAAAGTAACTCCCATGCCCACAGGGCACCCACAGTGCGTCTGAGTCCAGGCCAGGGACACCAGTCTTTCCCTCTACCTGCATGGGCTCTGGGACCAGGGCTTAGGGAAGCCCTCACCTCGCAGCGGTGGGGGGGCCCTGGGAGGCAGAAGTGCCCTCCCGGGAGTCCTAGCCACCCACCGTCCCGGGAGGGGGGAGCCCCGGAGGCACCTGTCTGCACAGGGAGGCACTGAGGCCGTTGTAGAGTGCCAGGACGCCATCGGAGCGCACCACCCGCAGGGCCATGCCCGTCATGCGCAGCTTCACCTCCTGCTGCGTCTGCAGATGCACCTGTCGGAGTACAGCTGCTCACGCCGGGCCCCGCCGCAGGGACCGCCCAGCCCGGCTCCCTCCGGGCCCTTTCCCACACGAAGACCCCACGGGCTGGGTCCTCTCAGCACTCCAGTTTAGAGATGGGAAACTGGGGCACAGGAGACACAGAGGTCTCCTAAGGGTGCCCAGCTGGGTGCAGATGGGACTCCATGCCCACACCTGGCGCCAACCTCTAGTCCACACTATTTTGCTTTACAAGGAACAATGCCGGCTGACACGTGAGCCCACCAGGCCCGTGAGAATAGTTCACCTATGTGTCTGAGTCCTCACGGCACCTGCTGCAGGAGTGGGGGTCATCAGTCCCATTTTGATGAGGACACTGAGGCAGGATGTAGACCCCAGCAAGGTGACTCCAGAGCCCCATTTCTTAGCCATGCCACTTCTCAAGAGGGATCAGAAGTTATGGGGACTCAGAGACAGGCTGAAGAAACATGGTGGGCTTGGAAGAGATGCTGGGAGTCCGGTGGGGGAGAGGGGAAAGGACACTCCTGGGAGGGCCACCCTGGAATCTGTCCCCATATACCCCACTCTGTCCAGCCCCAGTCGTGTTCTGGCTGGGCCTCCCTGGGCAGGTTACGGACCCTCCTGCTTCAGTTTCCCTCAGTGTGCTATGAGGATTAAGTAGCTCAGTGGGTGCACCTTTCTCTTCCTTCTCTGTCCCCGCCCAGGGGCTTGGGTGGTAGGGCAGTTGAAGGTGGGTGGGGACGGAGAGGGCTTTGTGCTCCACTCAGCCACATCGGCCAGCTGGACAGGACAGAGGGCACTGGGCCTGGGGGCAAGGTGTCCACGCAGGAAGCAGCCCTTGTCCAGGCGAGAAGCAGCTGTGAGGACTGAGCCAGGACACGGGGCAAAGGGAGAGATCAAAGAGCTGTAAATCATTTCTCCAGTGGCCACGTCGTTGAGGGCAACATGCTCAGCCAGGGCCTCCCAGGGAGGCCTGCCTCCAAAGCTGTCCTCCCTGCTTCCGCAGGGGGGTTGAGTACCCCCTGGGCCAGACAGCAGTCAGCGTCCTGTGGCTGCCTGCTGCCCTTGACCCTCCTGGCAGCATTCTGCAGCAAAACAGCACCCGGGGGGCAGGGCATGGGGCAGTGATGCCCAAAGGAGCCTTGGACAATGGACAGGGGGCTCTGGGCCACTCCAAGGGCCCCTAGAAGCTGTGCCCAGCCACAATCGGACACAGAGCCTAACCCTCCAGGGCCCCATGGTGGGCACGGCGCAGGCGGCACAGTACCTGCCTGGGCATCGGGAAAGCAAAATAAAACAGACATGAGGGGAGGTTCCTCCTTTCTCAAAACAAGAAGCACCTTTCAGTTCACTGTCACCTCCTCTCCCAGGTGGTCACAGCACCTTCCAGGCCTGGCCCTGTTCCTCCTAGCCCCCTCTCAGGCCCTGGGGGCTACTAGGAGCATGCAGGCCTCTCCCAGGACATGCCAGGTCTCAGATGTGCCAGTGGGGCTACCACCTTCAGCCCCCACGGCTGCTAATCCTGCCTAGCTGGAGGTGAGCATTTTTACTAGAGAAGTCAATCCTCCTTCATTTAGGACAAAAGTTGCTGAAAGAAACATACCCTCAGGTGGAGGAGGGGCTGGGGTGGGGGCCTGGCCAGAGGCTGAGGTTTGGGTCAACAGGGCCACAGGTGCCAATCCCTCCCAGGGGGTGAGTATGGGGGTCAGGCTGCTTTGGGTGGGGGTAGGGAAGGAGGTGGCCAGGGAGCTGCCCCCCTGGCCCACAGGTCCCATGTGACCACAGCCCAGGTTCCCCAGGGCAGGGCCTCCTGAGCCGACCAGGCTTTGCATCATCGGTCCTTTCTTCTTTGTTCTTTGTAGTGAGAAAGGGGCAGAAAACAACCCCCCCCCACCCCCGGCTGGCCCTGGGAGACAAGAGAAGCTCTGTGTCATACTGCCCCATAAGCATTTTTCCTAAAAAAAAGTAAAATGAGTGTGACTGCCTCTTGCTCACCCTCACAGAGCAGGACCTGTGTGGGTGCAGGACCTGCGGCTTCCAGGTGCCCACCCAGTCCAGGAGGAAGCAGCCCAAAGCAGGGATCCCAGGGAACATAGCGCAGGCAAGGGTGCCATTCCCTCACTGTGTGCTGGGTACCCACCAGGCAGGGAGGCACCTGGTCCATGCCCTGGGTGTGCTAGAGCCAACATGTGTGCGCCCCACAGAACCACCCCCTCAACTCGAAACCCGGCAGAACTGTCCTCACAACTGCGGGATGGAAATTGGCTCAGAGAGGCCAAGCGACTAGCCCGAGGTCACACAGGTAGTATGGGGCACAACCGGGGCTGGAACGCGGCCCCCGGTCCCCGACAACGGGCACCTCCACCCCGGAGTGGGCAGGGTCTCCGGGCGGGGGCAGCGAACCACAAGGCGGCCCCAAGTCTCGCGCCGTCCAGGGCCAGTGCAGGGCCAGGCAGGTCAGTGCCCAGGCGTGGGCGGCCCCCCGCGCCCCCCCTCCCCAACCCCCGGCCCGCGCCGCCCTCACCTTGAGCAGGTCCAACGGGTGCGTGCAGCAGGCGGCCCCGCAGGAGGCCAGTCCCCCGAAGTACCAGCGCGACACGCGCGCCTCCGCCGCCATGGCCCGCACCGCGGACGCCCAGGAGCGCCGGCAGCCCGCTTGCAGCTCCTGCTGCCCACACCCCGGACCCGGCCTCCGCCCGGCCCCGATCGGACCCCGACTCTCGCCCCGGACCCCGGCCCGCACCGCCGCCCGCGCCGAGTTCAAAGCGCCACCCGCCACCCGCGCCCGGCGCAGCCAATGCGCCCGCGCGGCCCTGGGGGCGGGGCCAGGCCAGGGGCGGGGCCAGATAGACCCCGCCTCGAGCTGGGGGTGGACCGCGCCTTAAAGCGGCCGTGGCCCAGCAGCGGAGCCGAGTGGGCAGCGCCGAGCCGCCTGCCTCTGTGCCCGAAGGGCTAGGGCGTGGCGGGGGGGCCCACACCGACCCCAGGGAGCCTGCTGGGTGGCCTGCTCCACTCCCCCCGGGAACCTGGCGTCCCCCCACCTCGCCCTGCTCCGGCCGCTCCAGGGTCACCCGCACGCCTAGGCCAGGTCTCCGAAGGTCGCCGCCAAGGAGCGGCCTCGGCGCTCGGCCAGTCCCTGCCACTCCCGGAGGCTGGCCTCCTGCAAACAGCCTAGCCCCAGTCGCGGCCCTGACCTTGCACCCAGTGTCCCAGCTTCGCCACGCAGGCCCTGGGGGTCAGCCCTGGGACACGTGCATCCGGAGGGGGTGGCAGAAAACCTTCCTGGAGCCAGTCTGCAGATTACAGAAAAACTAGGGGCAAAAGACAATTCGGGGAGACTAGCGACCCTCCGGTGCTCCCAGCCAAGTCCGGCCTCGGGTGTGCTCTGACCAGACAGCCATCCTGGAAGAGGACAAGGAGACAGGAAGTTCTGAGCCATGGGGGTTCAGTCTCCTGGGAGGTGGCAGCTGGGAGGCTGCCTGTCCCCAGGAGATAGCCACCTGTGTGCAGATCCCCACTCTCATTCCACCATCCAGCAAACAGGAGGTGCAAGTATGCTCCTACGCCAGAGATGCACCTGCTGGGCAAGGTGGAAATCTGAATCTCCAGGACCACTTTACAGCAGGGCCACACAGATCCAGAGAAGACAGAGCCAGAGACCCCTTCCCCAGGGAAGAACCTACATCTTACAGTCCCAGCTTGGCCACTGCAGCCCTCCACCCCCACCCAAGGGAGAAGTGTGAGAGGCATTGGGGAAACAACTCTGGGTCCCCTGAGCCCGCTGAGCGCCCAGCAATTATGTGTCAGAGGCATAGTATGGGCCAGCAAACCTCCCTATTTACTTAGAGCTGCCACTTGGAGACTAAGGACTCTGTCTTTTAGAACTGCAGGAGGCCTCTGACCCCTGAGGTCATCAGCGGGGGAAGTGAACCGCTGCAGAGATGGTGTCCAGCCCAGAAATGTTGGGGACCCTGGGAGGTGGGGGGAGTTGGCCACACGGGCATCCTGCTTTATCTGAAGTAGAGGGGCAGGATCGAAAGAAGACGCCAGCTGTAGCCTAGATGGAAACATGGGCCCGGGGTGTGTGGGGGGGGCACAGTGGGGGAAGGGTCACAGCAATTCTCCAGAAGAAACCAGAGGAGGCACTTGGCTGGCTCAGTTCCAAGAGAATGTGACTCTTGATCTTGGGGTTCTGAATTCAAGCCCCACATTGGACATAGAGGTTACTTAAAAAAAATTCAATTGTATTTCTATGTATCAGCAATAAACAAACTGAAATTAGGAAAAACAATTCCATTAAAAAAAAGAGAAGATGCGAGACACCAAAGCTCTGCAAGGAAATGTGAAAATGTGAGATGGCTTTCACACCTAAGCCCTTTGTTTAAAGAAACAGAGCTAACAGACCGGACCAGTAGGTTGCAGGGGAGTGGCCTCCTTGTCCAGTGTCCCATGGGAAGTAAGTAGCGTCTTCAAGCCCACTCCTGAGACCCAAGCCAGCACAAAACCTGCCCAGAACCAGGTCTCATTCAGGATAAATCAAGATGTCTGAATCTTTGGTCAGCCCAAGGGCAATGTTATCAGCTCCTGACTGCAAAGAAGCTAATCTCAGAGAAGGCAAGTGGAGGGGACAGCCCAGAAAGCTAGGGGCCAGGTCCCGGGGTGGGGGCTGCCCCCTCTCTGTGGTCACATCAGCAAGACAGGGTCCTGAACCCACGGTGGGGAGAAAGCCCCAGTGCACAGACCGAGGACTGCCCCCAGGTGAGAGTGGCGGATCCCTGAAGCTTCGGAGCAGAAACAAGAGCTCTGAGAACTGAAACGTCAAGAGTGGCAGCACAGCACGTTGCAATCTGTGAACTCCCTCAAGACCTGGAAACACTCGAGGAGAGCAAAGTGTGGAGGAATCCTGGAAGATGCACCAAGTAAGGGGCACCTTTTTAAGACAAAGGTGGCACTTTGCAAGCTCTAGGTCAGCAAACTCAAAAAGATCCCCAGCCAAATTCTCAAATGGATCATAACTTGTGCATAAACCCAAGGTTTTCGATGGGGAGGTCGGGCGAGGTCTTGAGAACAAGGCTGCCTGGCCAGGCCTCTCGGGTGGGGCCTGTCTGCGCTGCAGCATTCCCATGTCCTCATGGGGCCACATGGGGTGTCAGATAGACACCAGGGTCCCTGGAATGGGCAGGAGGCAGGGGTCAGCTCTAGATCTCCCTCTTCCATGTTTCATTCGCCTGGACAAAGACCCAGTATGCTAACTCCTACCAGGACCTGTAAGGTTTCACATGTGGGCGCCATCAGGACAACTCAGGATGCACAGCAGACCTACTTCTACTTCCCCTGCTGAGCTCAGGGGCCAAGGCCGAGCGGCCTCCAGGGACTCAGGGCACACCCCACCTACTGCCAGGTCGGAGACACTTTATTGGCCAACCGCATACCAGAGCAGGTCAACACTGGAGCTGGGGGGGATGAGGGGGTAGGACCACCAGGGACTGTGAGGTCAGGTGGGGGCACCAAGCGATCACCATCCAAGCACTGTCCTAGCCTGGTGGAAGGTAGGCAGAATGGGGATGGCCTGATAGCCTGATGGCCCTGGGGTACGGCATCACCTGCATGTTTGAGCAGCCACCCCCAGGACGTCCAGCCATGGAGCAGGAGGTCCCATCATCCCAGGAAGAGAGAAGGGAGAAAGGGAGTCCTCATCATCACCCCAATTCCCTTGGAAAGACAAAGGGGCTCAGAGAACAAGCGGACTCTGTAGGTGCCCTGCAGAAGGCTGAGGCTGAGGACTGTCCCTGAGTTCAGACCACTCCCTTACCCCAGGAAAAGGCAGTTGGGTCAACAGGATACTGGGCCAGCCGTACCCGCCCAGGTGGCCCAGTAGTCACCTGTTGAGGGAGGGCATGCCCAGAGATCTGCTGATGGTGAATCATTAATCCTCTGGGACTGTCCCGGCCACAGACTTGGCCAGTGGGGCTCTCTGGGTCAGGCAGCAGCCTTCTTACAAGGAGTCCAGCAGGAAGCATACTCTCTGGCTGCTGGGCATGCCCCCGAGAGCACAGCAGCTCCCCAGGCCTGTCCTGTCCTGAGGGGGTTCTATCCTAGACGCAATGTCCTCTCTGGTCCCACAGCCCTGTGCTTGCATTCTTCCAACGTGGCCAGGGAGTGGACACGGGGGCCTGCCATTCTCAGGCACATGCCTCACCGCTCACCTCAGTCTGCTAAAGACCACAGGTGCCCTGCACCCACCTCCGGGTGATGATCTGGCATCAGCCGGCTGCTGCCACCCCAGCAGGACGGGCGCTGCCCACACCCCCGGTGTGCTGCCACCAGCCCTGGGAGGCCAGGCCCCTGCACACAAAGGACCCAAAGGTCACTGGCCGACCCCCACACATCCCACTGGGGAATGAGGGGGCTACCCTAGCCAGCTCCCCACCACCCACCTGGAAGCCCACCCAGACACACCACTCTGCACACACGGCGCCCAAACAATGTATTTTTCTCAGTGGCCACCAGGGGGTGCATGTTGACCGCGGTATGTTCTAGAGTCCGTCTCCCTGGTGCTCCCGCAGGAGCCGCGCCCCCAGGCTCAGCAGGTCCATCCGCCCGTCCCAGAACGGAATTGGCCCAGGGGTGCCAGTGCCGTAGTTCTGTTCGGAGGCTGCTCCCACCAGCGGGTCCCAGACGGGGGCGCGCCTCGCCCGGGTCCCAGGGACCCTTGTCCACCAGTCCTCAGAGCTGGCCTACTCCAGAACCACGGTGCCGCCCGCCGCCTCCAGGGCTGCCTTGATCTTCTCCGCCTCAGCCTTGGCGACGTTGGCCTTGATTTCCTGGGGCAGGGACTCCACCAGCTTCTTTGCCTGCCACAGAGCAAAGTCAGGAATGGGGCCTGGGTGGCCGCAACCCACCCGCCCCAGAAGGGGCCAGTCCCAGAACCGCTCGCATGGTAGGGACAGCAGGGGAGAGGCCCGTGAGGCACACGGAGCTCACCTGGACGAGGTTTATGCCCTGGACGTAGTTCTTGATTTCCTTGATCAGCTTCACTTTGTCCACAGGCTTTGCCTCTGTTAGGCGGACAGTGAAATGTGTCTGTTCTCTTTGTGTGGGGATGTCTTCTTCTGCCACCTGGGAGAGGGAGAGACAAAGCACGGGGTGAAGTAGGCACATTCGCTCCTGGGCCACCCTGTCCTGTTACCCCCAAGCCCCAAAGCAAGGCCAGCAAGGCCTGCAGCTCCAGCCGGAGGCGCACCAGACCTGCTGGGCTCGGGGCTAACCGCTTGGAACCTTCCCTCCCTCCCACGCTCCCCAGCTGAGACCTGGCTCCCTGGCCAGAACGCTGCCTTCTCCCCAGAGGCGGTTCTGAATCTGCCTCCCCTCATCCACCCGCTCAAGTTCCCTTTCCCTTCAAAGCTGTAATCGTGGGACAGGCAGGCTGACACCGACTGCTCTTATCCAACAGCGTTTCAGGAAAGCAGTGCCCTTGTCATCCTCAGCCAAGCCCCGAATCGTGTGTGGATGACAAACTGACAGGCAGCCGCAGCCCCACCTTCGCCGAGTGACCGACAACGGAAGGACGAGGCCGACAGAGCTGTCACAGCTGAAGACACAGCACCCCCACGGGGCAGGGGCCACATGGCCCGGCAGCCTGGGGCAGTCCTGCTTTAGATCTGCTCCCCAATTATTATTATTTTTTTAAAGATTTTATTTTTGATAGAGAGCACAGGGGAAGCACAAAGGGAGAGGGAGAAGCAGGCTTCCCGCGGAGCAGGGAGCCCGATGTGGGGCTCGATCCTGGGACTCTAGGATCATGACCTGAGTGAAGGCAGACGCTTAACCAGCTGAGCCACCCAGGCGCCCCCTGCCCCCCAGTTACTGACAGTATCCCTTCATTCTCAGAAGCGTTCCAGTTTCCACAATGAAGTTCAGAGGAACTCCGTCTCTCCTTTGCTCCAAATGTTCAGCCTGAATCTCACCAGCCTGTGAAGCTACCAGTTCCCGGCAGATGGGGGAGTGGAGCTGATACCATTGGAACCAGCAGACACATCTGGAACGTGGGACACGCCACGGGACCCCTGACCCGGATTTCGTAGTAAGGGATGGCCAGGGGAAGGGGACTGAGGCCGGGAGCCAGACTGCAGAGACCCAGTGACCACATGCAACACACAGTGCTTAGACTGGGGTAAACCAACTGCTAAAAAGTCTGGGACCATTAGCTAAATCTGAATAGACTGAGCGAGATCACTGTTAATGACGTTTGTCGTACAAATGGCTCGTGGCTACGTTAAGAAAACACCTCTGTGTTTGGAGATATGTGCTGGAGCACAGAGAAAGGACAGACCACACACGTGCCTTAAGCTTCAAGGGACAAGCGAAGTAAACACGGCAAAACCTTAATCGTCATGGAGACCGGGTGATACATACACAGGCTGTTCTCTGTACTTGTCGATAACTTTGGAATTTTCCCAACAGAAAGTGCAACAGCCCCCCACCAAACCAGAAACAAACAAAAACCGTAACAAATTAGCGCATGGCTTCAGGTCGGCTGGTTTCGTCGCGGAGACGAAACCTGCCCATTGCCCCACCTCTGCCACCTCGTGCCCGCTGGCCCTCTGCTGGGAATGCCCTGCTTCCTTCCTGTATTCCTCAAATCTCCCCCACAGTGCCACCTCCTTATTGTGGCCTCCCTGGAAATTGTAACCCTCCCCTCCCCTTAAGCTTCTTCCCTGCGTTTTTCCCACATCACTTATCATGTTCTGCTATTCAATAAAATTTTTCTTTTTCTTCTTATTTGGTTTATCGCCAATTTCCCTCCACAAGAAACATGGTCTCCACGTGGGCAGGGATCTGCACATCCTCCGCAGGAAGGTGGTCCCAAGGAGACTGCAGGTGGCCCACAGCCAGCACACACAGCTTTGCGGGATGTGTTGGCTGATGCAGACTCAAGATGAGGGACAATGAGAGAAATCTGGCCACGTGACGTGGTGGCACCAGAGGAAAACCTTTTTGCACGGGACCCTGGCCTGCGCCCACCTCGGGGGTTGCTGCTGCGGCAGGGGCAGCTCCGGGCATCGTGCCGCCCATCGGCATGAGTCCAACATCCTGGATCTTCAGTGTTTTCTGCAGGGAGAAGGGAGAGCAGTCTCAGTAGCTGCCCGTCACGTTCGAAGACACCCACACAACAAGGCTGGCACAGTCCTCATACTCAGGGAGCACGCTTCGGACGATTTACTACGCTCCCCAAATATACCAAGAACAAGACACAGGCCTGGGCTTGTGATACCTTCAGAAGCTCGTTGAGATCTGAGATCTCCAGGAGTGTGAGGCTGGCGATGTCCTGGACAAGCTGCTGGATCTTGGGGGGATACTCCTTGGGCGCGTTATCCAGGGGTGCCCCGGCGAGGGCCTCCCCCATTCGATGGCCGCCGCATCTCATCAGCCGCACAGCGCAGACACGGGGCACCTGTTGCCTAGCCCCCCGTTCAAACAAGGCTGTCAGACTGGCACAAGCGGGTGACACAGACCAGGCGGGTGGGCGCTATGAGCTCAGGTCTAGCTCCTTGGTCCCAACCCGGGGGTTCTCAGACTCCAGGGTCCACGAGGATAAGGGGGTTTCCCAGCTGCCTTAAATTCTTCACGAGCCTTAGAAGTCCACGCGAGTATTTGCAGACGTGCTACCCACAACGTTAGCTTCCGGGTGGAAAAAACTATCGGCCCAAGGGAGCAGGACAGTAACTTGAATGCATTTTGCTACACCAAGCCTCTCAGAATCTGGGGCCCTCGGGCGGCACAACGCCGGACCCACTGATGGAAGCCCTACCACGTCATTGGGGCTGCGGGGGAAACTGAGGCCCGGGGAGGGGCAGGGACACGTGCACGGTCATCTGAGGCCACCCCCAGCACACTCAGCAGCCCGCGAGGGTAAGGAGTCGGCGCAGCTGGGGGGCCCTCGTGACGCCCACCTGCGCCGGGACCCGACGAGTCGGGGTGACATCCCGCCTGCCGCGCGCGGGCGCCGCCCCCAACCTGCACCCTCAGTTGCCGGCCGCGGGCCCCGACCCTGCCACCCTCCAGCCCTCGGCTGACCGCGGTACCTGGCGAGACGGAGTGCAGCGCCCCGAAGCCCGAGACACGGCCCCCAAAGGGGGCGAGCGGCCGCCAGCAGCATCGGTCCGCGGGCGGGAAGGTCACACGCGGCTCCCCAGGAGGAGGACGCTCTAGCCGCCGGGGCCGCCGAGCATTCGAGCTGAGTCAGGACGCTCTAGCCGCCGGGGCCGCCGAGCATTCGAGCTGTGTCAGGACGCTCTAGCCCAGGAGGCCGCCGGGGAAACGAGTTGGGGCGGACGCTCTAGCCGCACCTCGCGCTGGCTTCCTCTCGCTCCAGAGATTACCCACCGGACGGCGAGCCGCGCAGGCGCAGAGGCTCGTTGGTCGGGGTCGGGCCCTGGGACAGGCGCCGAGTTGTTGGGGCCCCGTCCTCGCTCGGCGGACGAAGGCCAGAGAAGGCCGAGGCTTGGGGAGGCGGTGCCGGCCGGGGGGACAGTGCAGTGACCCCTACTCCCCGACACCTGCCGGAGCCTGGCGCCGGCCGGCAGCGCTTCCGGCTCGGGACGCCCTCCCCGGCCGCCCGCGCCCGGGCTCCCCCGGCGCCGAGAGCTCCCGCCGCCCTCTGGGCAGCCTTCTCCTTGCTTCCCTCGTCCCGCCGGAGGGCTGCCTCTCGCGCCAGCGCGGGGACACGTGTTCTGCCCCGGGAGCGAGGCCCGCGCGTCTGGGCGGTTGGACTCGGGATTCCCCGCCGACGGCGTGGCTAAGGGTTGTGACTGAGCCGGGAAGGGTCGCGGGATGGGGTCGCGGGCGGGAGGGCTAGCGGTTCGCCTGGAGAAGAGAACTCCTCAGCCCTGGCTCTGGGTCCAGCTGCCCGAGCGCCTGCCTTTCCGTTGTGCACGGGGGGTGCCTCCCCGGCCCCGCTGACGACCTCCGCCGTGAGGCTCCTGGGCCTTGGCTCTCCCAGCGGAGTTCTAAGAGCCAGGCACGGAGCAGCGCTTGTTACATCAAATCGAGAGGGCAGAGCCGTCCTCTGCCTGGCGACCTTCTGCTGTCCTGGCCCTGCCTTAGGCCTGGGCTCAGAGAGCCTCTCTGCCTGGTAAACTAGTCCGTTTCTTCACGGAAGAGCTAATGCTGGGGTCACGTACGAGGTATTTAAAGGGTGTGAAATGTTCTGAACTCTGGATACGAGGGGCTGAGTCTACACTCTGATAAGGTATTTTCTTCCAGACTCTGACTGGTGTAGAATCACACTCATCCTCAGGCGTCGCAAGTCTTCGAGGAGTCAGGGTAGAGCAGGGCCGGATGGGGAGGACTGCTGCTGGGCTCCCCAAGGGCACAGCTCCGTGTGCTGTCTCAGGGAAGGATCAGGTCTGCAGCTGCTGCCAGAGCAGTGCCCACCCCTCGACACCGACCGTGGAACCAGGCTTGGCTCGGGACAGGCTGGCCCACAGGCATGTGCCTACTCGCCCCTGTCCAGAGCTGCACCAGCTGCCCACCACCTTCCTTCTGAACAGACACTCCGATACTTGTTGAAAGACATTTTATTATCAGTGTTCCATTCCATCTACTCAGGGCACTGGATGAGATGGCAGCTCAGAAGCAGAGAAGCTGGCGACGAGCCCCCACCCTCCCGTGAGGGCCAGGAGTGCATGCTGACCGCAGGGGGCACGCCAGAGGGCTCTGGAAAGCACGCACACAAGTCAGACCACAGGCCGTGCGGTCTCCCGGGTGCACACGGGGGGGCCCAGACTGCACAGAAGAGGGACCCCACTCCAGCCAGCCCTCACAGGACCTGACACACAGGGCTTGAAGGCTCCCTCTCGGAGATCCTTCCCTCCCACCCTCCGAGGCCCAGCCCTGGGGAAAGAAGTCTGAGACCAACTCAGGGAGATGGGGAGGAGGGTGCGGCCTGGGGGCACGAGGAGTCCGTGGGAGAGGACAGAGGGCGGGGGCCAGGGTGAAGGGCCACCCCCTGCACGCAGCAGGGACACTACATGGCAGTAAGAGGAGAGCGAGGCAGGACGACGCTAGTTAGAGACGGAGGCGGTGGTTCAGAGAACCGTAGTGTTGTTCTGGATGGCGCGCTCCCGGCCACGGTCAGTCAAATGAGATGAGCTGGGCTTCACTGCCCTGCGCTGGAGGGCCCTGTGCGGGTGGTGGCTGGGCCACAGGGGGTGGCTGTTGGGGGGGTCCCCCGGAGGGCGCCATCTGGGGGGAAGGCACAGGAACCATCAGTCCTCCTTCCCCAGACCCTGGCCTTCCCCCCCAATAGCTTCTCTCTAGAACACCCTGGTCTCAACCTTAGTGCTCAGTCCTTGCAAAGCCCAGTCCACGCCAGGCCTCCCTCCTCCCAGCTTGTCGTGGGTTCCCTATTCTCGTCCTGCCCCAGCGGAGACCCCAGGAGTTCCCGACCAGTGTCCACGGGGCTGAGCACACGCGTGGTCTGGACATCTGTGTGCGTGGCTGCATGTGCCAGCTGGGAAGCAGTCCTGGCCTGCACGGGCTCCTCCTCCCAAGAGAGCCCCACCATCGTCCTCCAGCCGAGCCGCCGGCAGCCCTGGGAGACACTCACCTGCTGGTACATAGGCTGCTGCCCCGCGATGTAGGGCTGCTGCGGGGGTGGCAGAGGTGCGTCCTGGCTGGGGAGGGTGCTCATGAGACTCTGTGAAAATGAAGTGAACCCCATGTGAAGGAGCCCTGTATGCCAATACAGGAGCGTTTCTGACTTGGAAAATCAAATGCCCACCAGCTAGGAGAGCCTCCCGGTGGGGAGGGGGGGTGGGCAGGAGGCCGGGGCCTGCCCAGCGCTCCCCCAGCCTCTTTTCCACGTGGACACCCCACGCGGTCTCTCACCTGCATGCCGTAAGGCTGATAACCCATGGATACCGACTGAGTCCCCATGTAGCCCATGGCGCCGGACTGCGGAGGCTGGGACATGGCCGGGAGGCTCTGGGGGGCCTGGGAGGCCACGTTCTGTGGAGGGAAGCGTGTGATGGGAGAAGGGCTGCGGACCCTCGCTGGGGAAGGGAGCCAGCCCTGCCCGCCTACCTGATAGCCCTGTGTCGGAGTAGGCTGGTAGGACGAGTAGGCGGGGCTGGCGGTGGGCCCGGTGGGGCCCTGGGGGGCTGCCTGCGCCCCGGTGGCCCCTGCTGGGTACATATAGGCGCTCACCATGCTGGGATCTACGGAGGGAGAGGAGCAAGCTCACTACCCTGCAGGGTGACTTCTGGAACCAACTTCACATTTCACATTCTCACAAAAGGAAAAGAAAACAAGGATGGGAGAGGAGCGCTAGTGCTGAATGCAATCAGAAAAAATGAACCAAACTATCGACGGGGTGTAACAGGATGGCACGGGAGGGGCGGGGGAAACGAGCTCTCGCACCTTCTGAAACTCAGGGCCTGAAGACAGGGGACTACAGACCTAGTGAGCCCAGTCAGGAGGACCTCTCCCCAGGGGCTCGGGCTGGCTTTCCCGAAACTACTTTCTGTGTACTCCAGGAACGAACAGATCAGCCAATGTGGGGAGGATACAGGCACGGAGAGGGGAGGAAGCCCCGGGCCGGATCACCGAACCCAGGTCTGCCGTCCGCAGGCGAGCCTTGTGTGTGCGTACACACGTCCTCGTGGGCTGCCGCAAGGGCCTGACACGCAAAGCACACCTGGGCCCCAGGTGCTGAACAACCCCCACTTCCAGGACTAGCGGCTCCCTGGACAGGGGCTGCCTCCAGGGCTGAGCAGCGACAATGTGAACACAGAATGTGGGTAGATGGCCCAGGAGCCGGCCACACCTGGGACCATCTGAGCCATGAAACCAGTTGTGAAATTTGAATAAAATGGGTCCACGTGGATGTAAATGACGAAAGAGTAAAGAGAAGGAAAAGTGCTTCCTTACAGTGAAAAAATAACGGACCAACAAGAGAGGAATGAGATGAGAAAGTCACTGGGTGACAAACGTTATGACAGCCTCAGACACGACGGAGAAGACGCTAAAGCTAGCAGGTGACAACTGAGGAAGAACAAGGCTGTGTGCAAGTCTCGTCCCGACTGAACGGTTGCTGCCACCGGCCAGCCAGGCCCTTGCAGGAACCCCGGGAGGCCGCCTGCAGCCTCGGGCCAGCAGCCGGCTGTGCCTTCCTGCTGAACACTCCAGTGCCCAGGATGGCCGGTCAAAACCCAGCCACGGAGACCAGACACGGCCCAGTGAGGGCTGGTCTGCAAGACAGCAGGCCAGTGCTCTTTGAGGAGTGTCACGAACACAAAGGCAGAGAAAGAACATTCTCGATCAAAGATGAAAAGCAGCCAAACAGTTGAAGACAACAGCCATGGGGTTTCCTGTCTGCACAAGGGGTGTTACTGGGACGGTGTGGGAGAGCTGAACCCAGCGACAGGTGAGGTCACATGCTGACCGCGCTTGCAGCAAAGGGCATCGTAGCCGCCACCCACTCTAAAAAGGTTCAGGGAGGGCGCCTGGGTGGCTCCGTCGTTAGGCGTCTGCCTTCGGCTCAGGTCATGATCCCGGGGTCCTGGGATCGAGCCCCGCGTCGGGCTCCCTGCTCTGCAGGGAGCCTGCTTCTCCCTCTCCCACTCCCCCTGCTCATGTTTCCTCTCTCCCTCTCTCTCTCAAATAAAATCTTAAAAAAAAAAAAAGATTCAAGGAAAAAAGTCCACGTATATGTGTGCATGCACGGCTGCATGTATGAAAGGAAACTGCAAATGTAATGAAATATTGTTTGGAAAATCTAGAAACCCTTTGTAGCGTTCAACTTTTCTGTAAAACTGAAATTACAGTGAAACAAAAATGAAGGAAAACATAGTAGTCTGGAGCTCATCTTGGCTGCTGGACACCTGCGCCCACCCCATTACCTGCTCCGGCCCCAGGCATGCTGGGGTAGGGGCTGCTGGCGGCGGGGGCCGGCTGGCTCATGTACACCGTGTGCATGGGGGAGCCCTCCACTGAGCCTGCGGGGCTGAAGGTGCCCGGGAAGCTTGTTGGGCCCGAGGGCTGGTACAGCACGCCCCCGGCCGCGGGCATGGCCTGGAGCTGGGGACAAAGAGAGACGGCCGTCAGGGCATTCCTCGGTGGCTGCAGCCCCTGGCTGGGGGGGGCCCGGGGTGGGTGCGTGCCTGGGCGTAGGGCAGGGAGAAGGCGGGCATCTGGGCACGCATCTGGATGGTCTGCTTCTGCTGCTCCAGGCGCAGCTGCCGCTCCTTCTCCTGCTCCTGCAGGCGCTGGATGGCCAGCTGCCGCTGCACCTCCAGATACTCCTGTGGGCACAAGGCACCGTCAGGGCTGTCCACGCCCGCGGCACCCCCCACGGGGGGCCGGCCACCACACCTGCTTTTTCTGCCGCATGATCTCCAGCTTCTGGGCCAGCTGGATCTGGCGCTGGCGCTCGGCTTCCTCAGCTGCCCGGCGAAGCTTCTCCCGGTGCTCCTCCCGCAGGGCGCTGAGTGCCCCCCGGGCATCGCGGATCTGCGCCAACTTGTCCTGCAGCCCCTCGTAGTATACTGCGGGGAGAGGGCAGTGCCAAGAGTGCGGGGCGTGGGAGGGGAACACTGGCCACCAGGCCTGCCCTCACCCAGCCAAGAGCCTGCCTGCAGGGCACAGCTGGCATCTGGGCTCCCAGGGTCAGGGCTGGGGCCGACGGTCCTATGCTTAGTGGGACACTTCTCATCGCAGAGACCACCTCCCGCGTTGCCCACGGCCCAGAGACGGACTCTAGAGAAGCTGCCGCCCGCGGGGTAGTCCCACCCGAGGCCCTTCCCCGTGCCCACAGCAAGTGGCCAGCACAGATGCTCACACGACAGCGCGCCAAGGGCCCCCCGGGCACCGCGGCACCTACACCTGCGCTCGTCCAGCTGGTTGAGCAGCTCCAGCAGCTGGGGGTGCATGCTGTTGATGGACTGGAAGAGGGACAGCACCGCCGAGTCATTGGTGATGCTGCGGCCCCGCACGTGGTTGCTCTTCATGCGGTTGACGAAGGTGGTGACGGCATTCTGCAGGGCCTTCAGGAACTGCGCGTGGCTCTCCTCCGACTCCCCGTTCTGGTACTGCTGCTGGGGGCAGGTGGGGGCTCTTGCGGAGCAGCCCCTTGGGCGGGGCACCACCCACCACTCCAGGCACTGAGCTCTGGGCTTTCTGCGCAGGACTCGATCCTCCCAGTGGTGCTATGAGGGGGCACCCTTAGCACCCGCTTTGACAAATGCAAACACTGAGGCCTAAAGAGGCTTAACTCTTGCATTTGGGCGTGGCGCTGGCCAGGACAGAGCTGGTTGGAGCTCGGGCAGCCTGGCTCACAGCCCCTCTGCCCCTACCCTGCAGAGGACCTGCCTCCCTCAAAGAGGCCCCGGTCTCTCAGTCCAATGACCAACAGAGCCCAGAAGCGCCAGGACATAACAAGGACTCATCCAGGTGATTCTGGGCTGCCCTAGGATATTCCGATCCATTCTAGGCAGCAAGTGGCCAAGTTCTGGACCACAGCCAGCCAACCCAGAGACGTTCCATCGAGAGTTCTGGGCTGGAATGGCTTGCCCCTGGGAGGTCGCTGTGGGTAGGGCTCGGCCCCATCAGGAGAGCTGCCTGTGCGGGGCCCATGAGGGAACCATAGCTTACCTCACCAAAGGGGCCGCCGGAGGGAGCTATGGGCTGAGAGTCTGCCTCTGGGAGGGGAGTCTGGAAGAGGACAGAGAGGGTGAGGGGGTCATCCGGCCTGTCCCAGGCCCCCCCCCCCCAAACAGGACTGTGGGCCAGGAATGCTGAGAGCAGTGCACCTCCAGCGCGTTGGCGGGGACTGCATGCCCCTCCACGGGCGGGGCGGCCGGCTCCGTCAGGGGTGCGGGTGCGGACGGGGTAGGGCTCTTGCGGGCCTCCTCCTGCTTCTTCTCCCAGTAGTTCCGGTTGAGGTACCGGGCGAGCTGCGCACACAGCAAGGGTCACTCCCAAGGGCCAGGGAGCAGCAGGGGAAAGCAATGCACGTGGGGCACCCTCACCTCGGGGTCGATGTCCTCAGCCAGCGGCGCCGACGAGGTCTGGGGAGACACAGACCAGAGCAGCAGTGACCCATGGGCTCAAACATGTGCCCAGCTCCTCCCAGGCCGTCGCTCGGGAGGCTGGGATGCCACCACGGTGAGAGTGGACCCCAGGCACTGGCCAGTCTGCCCGAGGGGTCCCCGGGGCTCTGTGACTGAACAAGGTGCAGGGCAGTATCCCGCCAGCCTTCCTTGCAACCATACCGCCGGTCCCAACGGTGGACTATTCTTAGGCCCTCAGCCACCCGGCCCCACCCAGAGCCCCGCAGAGCTGGCCATGACTTCCTGAACCTTCTGTCTCACCTGCCACTCACCCCCTTATTTACAGAGAGGGCCAAGGCCAGAAAAAGGCAGGCCACCTTCGAGCCCAGCGTCTGCCCGCGTCCTCTCACTCTGGGGAGGTCTCCAACCTTCCCAGTGTCATCCTCCCCTACAGAGGACCCCGACCTGGAGCAGAGGGCTGGGGAGGGCCAGGCTGGACCTTCACCTTCCCCAGCTTCATCAGGCCATCCTTTCTGGGGCAGCCCTCCCACCCTCCCGCACCAAAGCGTGGCCCAGCCCGGGAGGGCGCTCACCACAGGTGAAGAGTACAGGCTGCTGGCCGGGGGCGCCGACGAGGCCACGGGCGCGGGCTCCGCCTTGGGGTATGTGGCAGCAGCATACGCGGACTTCTGTCTCTGCGGGCGAGGCAGGAAGGGTCCTGGTGCAAGGGGGCGGACCTACCACACTCCTCTGCCCTCCCCAAACATCTCAGCGCACCCCCCCAAGCCCAGCACGCCTGCACCAGGGGAGCTCCCCTCCAGCTCACCATCCTCTCCTTCTCCTCGGCTTCCGACTGTGACAGAGCCAGGGCCAGCTGCAGGTCCTCCTCCTCCTGCAGGGCCGTCTCATCCCGCTTGGGGGGCAGCTAGGAACAGACAGGCTGTGAGCAGGGCCTGGGGACGAGGCACCCCCAGGGACCCGGGGCCAGTACCTGGGATTGCTGGGACAGGGGGCTGGTCAGGTACTCCGGGGGCAGCTCTGTTGTGGACGACGCCTTTCCTTCTGCTTTCCTGGAAGCGAGAGGACACTGGGTGGCTGAGCACCATCCCCCGGCCCCCAGCATCCCCACAGGTGCCACAGGCCACGCTCTGGAGAAAAATTGGTCCCTCCAAGCAGCTCTGTTGCCTCTGGGACGCAGGACCCCAGGCAGGTCACCCGGCCTAAGCCCCAGCCCCCTCTCCTGGAAATGAGGTTCAACCACGGGAAAAGAACTTTCCAGGGAGCGGCCTGGAGGCACCACCTAACCGCGGGAGGAGTTCCCATTGCTGACACTGGGAGCCGGACAGCCCGGGCCCCCAGAGCGGCTGCACGGAGAGGGACAGCCTCATCCTGGGATCGCACCGGGAACGCACAACCTGACTCTAACCACAAGGCCCCAGACCCAAACCAAGGGGGGCGCCACACCAGCCCAGGCCCGAGAAACGCACACGTCGGGACAAAGAGGCTGCGTGGAGATCTGGGTCCTGGGAGTGCAGTGACAGCCACCTGCCGTGTGCCGGGGGCCTGGGCGGGCCTGGCGGGGGCAAGACTGCCGCAGGACATGACTGGGACTCGCTGGAACCAGACGGGAACACAAAGCAGACATCACGTGTCCTGGTCGGACGGCTCTGCTATGGTCTCAGGAGTACACGCTTCTTGGGAAATGCACACGGGGGGTTCGGGGATGGGGTACCCGCAGCTCACTCTCAGAGCTTCAGAAGGAACAAGATACGCGGGAACACCCGTGCAGATGGGGAAGGGAGACCATGCGCTTGAGCCAATCGCCCACAAGGCCATGTCAACACCGAGGGACCCGGGAGGAGGCCGCACCCCGCAGGGCCTGCTTCCCACGCCCGCATCTTTTCTCTAAGTTTTACTTCCAAGCTAAGAAGTTAAAAAGCAGACAAACCAAACAACAACCCCCAGCAGCTGGCTGGCAGGTCCTAGCCCTGCCCCCGGATGGCCAGGAGCAGCAGCCCGGCTTCAGGGAGCACACCCGGGCCCCCAGGGCCCCCAGCAGGGCACCCACCTGTTCAGCTGCTCATAGCAGGGCTCGCACACGCGCACCTCCTTCTCGATGCCGAACTTGGGGATGGTGGAGCACTTGGAAGAGCATTTGCCGCAGAAAATCTGACCGCACGCCCGGCAGTGGTGCTGAGATATGGAGCGGGTCAGGCTGCGGCCCCCTTGCACCCCACCCTGCCCACCACTGCTCGCCGCAGACGCTGCTAGGCCGGGCCCCCAGGGTGGGCAGACGGCAGGCCTGCGAGGCCACAAAGACCCTAGGGAAACGGCACGTTTCCAGGCTCTCAACTGCAGCCACCGTTTGGGGGAAAGAAGCCAAATTAAAAAGAAAAGTTCCTAAGAACCCCGCACGAGTTGCTTGGAGAGAAGAGGCTGTGCTGACAGTGGTCCAGTGAGTCTGCTCAGAAGCCCTGGCCTCAGCCTCCACCATCATGGTCTGTGCTTCAGGAGGGAGGGACGCGACGGCTCGAGGGCCCGAGTGCACAGGCTGTTAGCCTCGAGAGGCAGCCACGGGGCTGCGGGCCCCGGCAACACACACCCGAGCCTCCCACAGCCCCAAGCTTGCAGCGTTCCTGTCCCCAGGGGGGTGCACCCGCGCCCAAGCTTTGTCGGACGGCACAGACCACCGGGCTCGGGACCCCTTGATGATCCTGCTCACCACGGAGCTAGGAGCTGGAACTGCTCCTTGCACCATGAGGCCATAGCCAAGAGAAAAAGGATCCTGAGTGGGTTCAGTGGCCCCCTGGGGACAGCCGGGGGGGGTGGAGTCGGCCCTGGGGCGGGCACACTCACCTTGCGTGTCACCACCCCGAACTGCACTCTGCAGCGGTGGCACTCCTCAGCATCCACCCAGTCGGGGGCCTGGGGGGCAGGCAGAGTCAGGATCGCACGGCCCCCACCTTCCCGGCCAAGATCCCTGTTTCCCACAAAGGGGACAAGACCCCAGTGTGGGCTCCGGGGCTGAGGTCCCAGTCTGCAGATGCGAGGCAGGAGCCCACCCCGAACAGATTCTCCTTTCTGAAGGTGTGACCGCAAAACCCCCCGCAGCTCGGGGTCAGTATTTGTCTTAACTACGCGAACCCGTCAGCCGCGGCGCGAAGGGACCTTGAGCTGTGTTCCAAACTGAGCCTCCGGAGGCACGGCTGCACGTCCCACACGTGTTGTTTTTGAGACAAAACGGCAGCTCACCCACCGATGTTCCCCACAAGCTGGGACCCAGGACTTCCCTTCTGCTTCCTCAAAGCAGCCGAACTCCCAGAGCGGCCGGCCAGCTCAGTTGGAAGAGCCTGTGGCTCCCGACCTTGGGGTCGTGAGTTTGAGCCCCATATTGGCTGTACAGATTACTTAAATAAACTTAAAAAAAAAAAAGCAGCTGAACTCCTAGATGGCCAACACCCCGTGAACTCACTCTCTCTGCGGCAAACATGGCGTCGCTCTCCTTGAACTCCGGGAAGACGTGTCCTGGAGAAAGGAGACCACGGTCACCACCAGTGCCACGCCGGTATGCGGGGCTCTGACAGCCTCAGCTGTCCTTGCCTGGTCTGCCCCGAGACCTTCAGGAGCCACGTCCTAGCTCTGGGCAGCCACCTCCCCAAGCACACCTACAAAAGGAGGCCCAGAGCCCCCGGGCAGCAAGCTCAATGACCCAGCACCAGGCGAGGGTGCCTGGGTGCGTGAGTGGGCCGCCCCATCCCAGGGCACGGGGCCTGGCCTCATTCGCACCCCATTGAGGCTTCACAGATCTTCCCTGGACCTGCTGTCCGGCTCCTGGCCCCAAACCCCAGCCAACTGTACCTCTCAGGACTCTTAAAACAGATTCCCAAGCTTTTTGGAGGCACAGGCTCCTTGAGAATTCCACGAAGCTTTGGGCTGTCTCCCCAGGAAAGTGAATGCAAGCATACACCCGCCATCCCATGTCCAACATCCAGGATTGAGGGACTGAGACCAGCTCACTGACATGGACAGAACCTTCATCACAAGTCTCCATGGGGTCCAACTCGCCCGTAGCCACCAGATGCCGCCCCTGCTCCACGCCTCATCTCAGGGCCTCTGCACAGGCGGGAGCCGCCCCAGCCCCCCCTTCCCCCCCCCCCCCCCAGCGTGAGCACTACAGTCTGAATCCACTGTCCTCCTTGCCAAGCCCCAGCAGATCTGTGTGGCCGCTGCAGCAGCTGGGAGGAGCACAGATGAGGCCTTGAAAAGGTCCCCCGGCTGTCACAGCCCTCCGAGGATTTCCCGCCATTCTCGGGGCACCCCAGCTCCCGCCTGAGCTGCTCTGGCAGGCTGGTCCCTCCTGTGCCTTGTCCCCAGTCTGTGATGGCCCCAGGGCCTCAGAAGCGAGTCCTCCAGAGGATGCTGGCTTGTTTACACGTTCAGCTCTGGCACACGAGCTGCCTGCTCTCCAGGCCTCCTCCCACCCCTCGTGCTAAATCAGCCCCCAAGAGGCGAGGCCCCCGGCTTTACTTCCTTCCTAGGACCCACACTCCGGACTTAGCTCCTCTGCTCAGTCTTTTCACTTGTGTGTTGTCCACCACATGCCCTTGTCCTGCCCTGACTGGGCGTGAGGTCGGGAAAGGCAGGGGCTCCAGAGCCCAGAGCAGGCTCCCACCGCCGCTGGTCATGCAGTATGGTGCCATCCCCCTGCCCCGCACAGGGCGCACCCCCAGCCCCCGCCCAACGCACCTTCCACCTTCATGATCTGGTACGTGTCCTGGACCACCTTGTACTTGGGCTCGTTCCGGAAGGCGTGAGCCCAGGCCTGGATCAGATACAGAATCTTGTTTCGGACGTTTACTTCCACCTGCCTCTGCATAGAAACGAGGACGGAGAAGGAAAATGGGAGACATGGAACACCAGAGATGTCTCAGCATGAGGAAGCTGCAGGAAGACCCCACCACTCTGAGCACGTGGGGCGGGCAGAGGCAGGGAGGGCCCCCCGCATGGGGCACCAGGGCCATGCATGTACCCATTACCCAGGCCCAGCCCTCCTCCATGAAGCCCGGTCCCTGAGGACAAACTTGCCACAGCGGTGTGCCCACTCAGGGCCTGACTCTTCTTTAATGCCCTGGGAAAAGCTGGGGAAGCCCCGAAGCCCGGTTCCCCAGGCCCACTACGCTATAACCACCTGCTTCTTCCTTCCCTGCCCCCAGGAGCTTGGTCAATGTCAGGGGCCCCCGAGTCTAAGCCAGTGTGGCTCCAGCAAATGCCAGGCTCCATCAGGCAGCGCCCACCAGACCCGTGCTGAGGGAGCAGATGTGCAGCTGGCCGCCCTTCCTCTGGCCACGGCCAGCCTAGGTGGGCGGGGGCGCGGGGGCAGGGGGGCAGGGGGGCAGGGGGGCAAGGGGGCGACTGCCCCAGGAGCCGCCCCACAGGCAGAGCCACCACTTCCACCAGCTTAGAGCATCATCAGTCACGTGCCTAGAGCTCTCCCGGGGACGCTCAGGAAGATGGCAGGATGAGAAAGTTGCTCCGGGGAGATGCCAACTAGACTCACCCACTAGGCTTCTGGTTCTTTCCCTGTGATCCGTGTCTGGTCGGTGGACCCCTCTTTCCTATCGTGACCCTCCCTCTCCAAGGGGGGAGTGACTGGCTTAGACCACATACAGCACAAACAGGACACAATTGCAGGACACAAGAAGCGAAGGGTCTGACCCTTCTACTCTTTTAGCCTGGATGCAGGGTCCCCAGTCAGGGCCCAGCTCAGGTCCCAGATGGGCTCTCAGCCATGTGAGGCCACGGACACCCACACAGGCCAGGAAGCTGTGGTCCCGCCCCCCAATGTAGCAGAAACAGTGTCTGGGGCTCCGCTTCTTGGCCGCCACCCCAGTCGCCTCACCCCTGTGGGACGGGTGCACCCCTGTACCGCCCTCTCTGCATCACACAACCTGCTGGTGTCACCACCCACATCACAATCCCTGCAGGTGGGCAGCGCCAGCCTGCGGGGCCATGGACGGTGGCCTGTGCAGCATTCTCTCTCGGGGCGCTGGAGGACTGTCCCCCCTCTACAAATGGACGCTGTGAAACCCACTCCCAAATGTGTCCCTGCTGTGTCGTGTCCCCCCAACCTCCCTCCATAAACACGTCGGACTCACACATCTCCCTGCTCAGAATCCTGGCTCTGCACATGGGACCCACCCAGCCGCCCTTCGGGGCTCCCCCCAGGCCTCTGCCCACACCCTCTGCTCACAGCCACCCACGCATGCACAGCTCCTTCCCCTCCTTCTCTGCAACCCGGGGAGACTCCAAGCCCTGCCCCTGGGAAGCCTTCCCTGACCCCCCAGGAAGAGCAGGGTCTCCTCTGCATCCCCAGCACAGCACTCCGGTTCGCTTCCGGTAAAGCCCTGACATCATCGAGCTGGGATTCGGGAGGTTCGGGGACCACCAACACCCACCTACCTGTCCTCAGTCCTGCCTGGCCCTGCCACCGCCTCAGGGGCCAGCAGAGCCCCAGAAAGGCACAGGCACGGCCTCGGGGTAACTGTGTCCTCCCCACCGTCTGGGCCTCACTGCCTCCCCTCCAGGGCCCACCTTCAGCAGCTCCTTCAGCTCCTCCATGGTCTGCTTGTTGGCCACCTCATCGTGGACAGTCTGGCCGCAGTTCTTCACCACAGACTCCATGACCTGCAGGACCCAAAAGGGAAGTCTCGAGCCCCCGGTCCAGCCAGGGCTAACCCGCCTTGGACAGGCCCCTCGGGCAACCTAGCCCATCAGGAGAGTTCCCGTGGCAGCTCTGAGTCAGGCAGCAACCAGCGCTGTATGTGCCCCTTCTAACTCCATTTCTTACCACCAGGGACAGAGACCAGGGTCAACCTCAGGGCCCTGAGTCTGTAGCTTCAGGTGCGGCAGCTGAGGCACTGTCCTCCATCAGGGCTGCTCCTACCTGCCCTCACGCCCCAGGCAGCTGGGCAAGGCCCCAGGGTCATGCTGTCTCTGCCATCTGGACACTGGGGCGGGCAACCCTTGAAGTGGCCAGAGTGCAGGGATCTAGTTACCTCCAGAGCATACAACGCCACGTGAGGATTCTTGTCGTTGACTTTCTTCTTGATGGAACTCACGGCATATTTGGCTCTGAAAAAAGAAACGTTGGTAAAAGAAAAAAGATAAAAAATATTATCTTAAAACCCAAGTTGAGAAAACCTCTGCCACCCTTTGGTCTTCAAAATCCTCACGCAAATATTAAGTACCTCCAAGCAGTACAGAGAAAACCCTTTCCTTGTCCCCAGATCCCCAAAACCCCAGCGTGGAGACCACTCAATTCTCCTCCTAAAACCTAATGTGGTCGACGTCCATCGGGGCAGGATACTGTGGGATCCTGGAGCATCAGTGGGCACCAAGGGAGCTGGGAGTGCCATGCTGCCACCCCCTTGCTTCTGAGCAGGCACAGACCCTCCTCACTTACTGTGTGTCCCCCTGGCGGATGAGGTCACAGATCTGCAGGATGGACTCCCAGTCAGTCTCCAGCAGAAGCTGGCTGGTTGCTTTGTCTACGGCAAAAACACACCATTACTGGAGCTTGTCCTCTATGATTCCCTGGTCGGTCCCAGAGCTCAGAAACAGAGAGAAAGGACCGCCTCCTTCCCATTTAAAACATTTGGACTGGGGCGCCTGGGTGGCTCAGTTGGTTAAGCGACTGCCTTCGGCTCAGGTCATGATCCTGGAGTCCCGGGATCGAGTCCCGCATCGGGCTCCCTGCTCGGCAGGGAGTCTGCTTCTCCCTCTGACCCTCCTCCCTCTCATGCTCTCTGTCTCTCATTCTCTCTCTCTCTCAAATAAATAAATAAAATCTTTAAAAAAAAAAAATTAAAAATAAATAAATAAATAAATAAAACATTTGGACTGAACGGAAAACCCCGTGAAAATCCTCTTGATGCCTGATAATCATGAGAGTACTGTCCTTTCCAGAAAAGCAAACAGCTTAAAAAATACTACCGGCACACCTGCTGTACACTTGATCCAAACGCTTTACGTGATCACCGAGTTCTTAAACAATCTCCTGAGCAACGTCCTAATCCCATCGTCTTCACGACAAAGACAACGAAGCAGAGAAGTGAGGTCACTGCCCAAAGTCACACAGCTTGCCGGGCCAAGCCAGGCGGGGTTCCACACTGCACTCTGCCACCTCATCCCTGAGTCTCTGGTTTTCCCCACGTTTAACCTGTCCAATGAGATCTCAGCAGGGGCAAGGCCGGAGAAGATGCAGCCTGGACTCCAGTCTTCTGCTTCAAGTGTTTTGTGGGATGAACCCAGGAATGACCTCCAGGAAGTATTCTTCAAACAACACCTGTGCTCTCTTGTATGTCACACCTGGCTCACACACACTATGCTCTGCTCCCCCAGCCCTGCTGACTCTCCTCCCTGGAGACACACCGGGGCTCTAACAAGGTGCGTCCACACATAGTACTGATGTGGTAGTAACTTCTGGATTGATCTTTGGAGGACTGAACCACCCCTCAGCATGCATGTTCTCAGAACAAGGAAGGTGCCTCATATGAGGTCTCCTCCAAAACCACATTCAAGGAAAAAGCAGGGCAGGCTCAGACCAACCACTGGAGCACCCAGAGCACCCACTGCACACACAGAGCCCACCAGTAGCATTGGGGGTGGAGAACATGCCCATAAACATCCATCTTCCCCTTGCTAAAACTGGTGACCTCCAGAACGCTCATAAAGGATCAGCTATCCACGTCTGACGAACAGAAAAACCACCTCCCTAAACCACCGGGGCCTTCCCGGAGCCAGTGGGGGAGCCAGTAGGGGAGCCAGTGGGGACACGGGGCGGGCCTGCCTCCCAGGGAAGCAGAGCTCAAAGAGCCTGGCAGGTCCCCGGGAGGACACTGCTGGTTCCACCCTTTGGAGCCCAAAGTTTGGGGCACCCTCAGTTCCCCTGCAACCTAGGATTTTTTGGGGCGAGGGGATCTATTTGACTAGGTCACCGTTTCCGTGACTCAGGACTCGTGGCCCGCTCAGTCAGGCTTGTGGCTCCGGGGGGGGACCTGCCCGCCCCGGCACAGGAGCAGAGCCTCGAGCACGGTCGCCGCGAGCGCGGGCCCAGCCCCTCCGCGGACCCTCACCCGCTGGGGTCGGAGCCCGCGCCCAGCGCCCGGGACTGCCAGGTCCCTACACCGCCGGCGCGCCCACCCACACCCCGGGCCCCGGGGCCCCGGTCGCTTTGCGGCCGCCCCCCGGCTCTGCTCCCGGGCCGCCGGCCAGCCGCGAGGGGCGGGGGCCGCGTTACCTAGGAGACGCTCGAAGGTGCCGCTGCCGCGCCCCATGGCGACCCGGTACCCCGACCCGACGCCGCTGCGCTCTCCGCTGCGAACCGGCGCGCCCCCGACTTCCGCTTCCGCCTTTCTCTCGGGCGCGCGCGCGCGCGCGTCACCGGGCAGGGCCGGGCCGCGAGCCGCGAGGAGGCGGGCTTTTTCGCTCGCCCAGACGCTGTGCGCCGATTGGGCTGCAGGCTGCACATCTTGGGACGGTGAGCGCCGAGAACCAATGAACAGCTCGGACGTGAGCCTATCCAATGAGAGCGGGGTGGAGGGCGGGACTTGCGCCGAGCTACGGGTCCCGGGTGGGGTCAGGGGCCGTGATGTGTCTCCTTCTGGGGGCCTCGGGCGTTGGGAAGACGCTGTTGGTGAAGAGACTGCTGAATATCCTTCCGCGCCGGGCGGGGGCCAGGAGTGCGGGGGCGGGCAGGGGACCGGGGCGGGCGTCGGGGTGCTCCGGGGGAGCGGGGCTGGGGTCCCGGGAGCGGGGTGCTGGGTGGGTCGGGCGGGTCCGGCCGCCGCCCGCGTTCTCTGCCCGGCTCGGGATCCTTGACTGCCCGCACAGCTGAGCTCCGGGGATGGGAAGGGCGATCTGGGCGATCCTCCGCCGACGCGGCCCACGGTAGGCCGCCCCTGTCCCGCAGGTTTAGCAGAAACGGGTACCCTTGACGGTTTGCAAAGCGTTTTGGGTGGTTTTAAGTGGAAGCTGGAGTCCGGCGGGTCAGTGCGTTAATGCAACCCTCGGGAGGTGAGCGGGGTGTCACGGGAAGGAGCCTGCCTGCTGGGACAGAGCTGCGGTGGACGTGGGTGCATGGCAGGGGCCCCGAGCCGCCCGCCCCTCACGCTCTTCACACTGCTTTCTCTGGTCGCCCCAGAGGCGAATCCCACTGAGGGGTGTTGGAGCGCGGCCACAGCCAGCTCTGAGGGTTGGGGCGTGGACCTTTGGAAGCTACTTTAGCCTTCCTTGCTTAGGGTTGTGCGTTAGGGTTTGAGCCCTTGAGAACGGGCGTATTGTGTAAAGGGCAGTGCATGTTTCTCTCCAGGAGTTCCCAGTGGAAAGGAGCTGTGTCCTTAATGCTTCCTGGTTTTTTCCACAGGTGGGCACCGACCTTACTGACATCGTGGTTCCAAGAAAGATTACCATCCGGGAGCTGGGGGGGTGCATGGGCCCCATCTGGCCCAGCTACTATGGAAACTGCCGTTCTCTCCTGGTAGGTCATGATCCCGTGAACTTGTTTAGGGATCGTGCAGTGCTGGACCTCACTCCGTACAGGCTGGAGTTTGGGTTCCTGGGCTAGTCAAGGACTTCCTTTTGGGAATGCAGCTTGATCCCTAGCGCTCCTGTTCCAGAGCTGACGGGAAAGCTCATGCGGGGCTCCGGACAGAAGTGTTTTTTCTCTGCCAGCAACATGCTTGCTCTCTGACATGTTTCTCTGCATGGGTTCTTATGGTTGACTTCTCCATGCCTTGTCCCATGCTAGCAAGGCCTGTGCCCCAAATCCCAGGACCCGTCCTGGGAGCACGGATGGCCACGCCAGTAGAGACCCGTGTGGGTGGAAACAAGTGACAGCAGGTCACGCTCGTGCAGCTCATCTCCCTTTACTTCTGCTGCCCCCAAAGTTGTTTCAAAGTCATCGTGCTCTTCTGAGCCAGGTCACGACACCCAAAGAAGAGGGTTTGGGAAGGACGGTCTCCCTCACAGGTGGCACTGGTCTGCATTTTTTTCCCTAGTTCATGATGGACGCGGCTAACCCCACTCAGCTGTCTGCCTCCTGCGTGCAACTTCTGGGTCTCCTTTCTGCGGAAGGACTAGCAGAAGCATCGGTCTTGATACTCTTCAATAAAATGTACGGGTCTGTCATCCTGGAGGAGTGTGGGGGTGCCTCCCCCCACGAGGAGTGCCCTGGAGCAAAGCCAGGAGGGGGTTCATGGGGGGTACAGTGGGGGTTGGGATCGGCTTGTGGCAGCCCAGCCTGACAGGGCGCTTCTTCCGCTGTAGCGATGTGCCCTGTTACATGACCGTGGAGGAGATGAAGTCCTTGATCAGACTCCCGGACATCATTGCCTGTGCCAAGCAGAGCATCAGCGCAGTGGCAGTCAGCGCTCACAAGGGCACCGGCTTGGCAGAGGTCCTGCACTGGCTCCAGGACACCCAGGGGACTGACAGCTGACAGCTGCCCCGCAGGAGGAGACCATGACGGGCCGGCCCTGTGGAGGGCCCGAGGGCCGCCCTGCTTGGCCTGCAGTGATCTGGATGACCCAGCACAAGCCTAGGGGATGGGCTTCTGGCCGGAGTTGCAGGGACGGGTAAACTGAGGAACCCTGGTTGCAGAAAGTCCTGATAGCTGGCCTCCGAATGAGAAGATCGTCCCCAGGGCTGGGAGAGGACAACAGGCTTGCAGGGTGGCTGGGCGACCTGCTCCCATCCCGGGATGTATTCCCTTCCCGCAGGTGTTTGGACTGCACAGCCCCACAGGGCTCTCTGTAGAGTTTCTGACAGGCTGATGATGTGACCCCCACTGTATGAGGCCGTTGTCATGGAAAGAACTGAGCCTGGAATCAGGACGAGAAGGGTGTTTTCATTAGTTCATCTGCTTAGTGCACGTTCGTCGCCGGGGAGGGCATAGGGATCCCGCAGGTAGGCGAGAGTGGGGGCAGCTCTGATAGAGCATGGGAGGTCCTGGCAAGCTCACCCTGATTTCAGCTGAGGGGGTTTGTGGGAGGACTAGGGTGTATTCGTGTCCTAGGGCCTCCATAACAAATTGCCACCTGGCTTAAAACAATCTAAACTTAAGCTCAAAGTTCTGGAGACCAAAAAACTGACAGGAAAGTGTCAGCAGGGTTGGTTCCTTCTGGAGGCTCCGAGGGAGGATGCATTTCTTGCTTCTTTTCTGGCTTCTAGTGGTTGCTGGTACTTCTCGATATAATTTGGCTTGTGACTCGAACTAAACCCCTGCCTCTGTCTTGATTTAGGGCCCACCCTAAATCCAGGATGATCTTGAGATCCCTCGTTACATCTGCAAAGACCCTTTTTGGAAATACGGTCATGCTTGCATGTTCCCAGGGTACAGGGAGAGGTCTGTGTGGGGCTACTGTTCAGCTCACTGCGGTCGGTTAAGAAGCCCTTCCCGGGTGTGGTTGTGCGTTTTCTGCAAGCGGCTTTCTCCATCTCAGCTGGCAGTCAAGGCCAGTTGGGCCGCGAGGGAACGCCAGGCATCTGTGCCATCCCAGCGTGCAGCGCAGCGGCCCGGCCTCAGCCGCGGGGGTTTCCAGTTGGCCCCGTTGTTGCAGGGATGTGTGTTCACGCGGGGGCTGTAAATGATGCCTCAGAAAAGCTCTCGCAGAGCCTGCAGGGCTACAGGGGCTCCAGCCCCCCCCGACCCCCCCACCCTGTGGAAGCGCTCCTCTCTGGGAAGGTCGCGCAGCCGCAGATGCGAGCGGCCTCCACCCCGGGGGTGCAGTCCTTGTGGATTTCAGACAACTTGGCACCCCCGCTTCAGAGAACTTCGACACAGTGCGTGCTCAGCAGACAGGCACCTGGCTCCATCTCTGGGGGTGGCCCCCAGCACGGGGCTCCTCTGATTTGGGCCTGGTGCCATCTCACGGTTAAGGCAGCCTGGGCTGGGTTGGTGAGTCTTCGGGACACTCTGACAGGCCTGCAGTGATTTCATCCTCCGTGTGAGCTACGAAGCTGGTTTTGAAAGGCAAACCCCCTCCAACCACGATGCCTTTCCACCTTCCTGCTTTCGTGCCACGCTCGGCCATGGGTCCGGGAGTGTGTTTCTCAGGGGCTGCGTTCACCCCGGTCTTGCCGTCCTGCCTACATCCTGGAATCCTACTGCGGGAAGCATGCCAACCACTGAAGGGGCGGCCGTGCTGCCCACCCCACTGGCACCTGTGATCTGCCAGCACAGTGGCAGCCAGGGTCCCGGGCACCCGACGCGGGGCACAGCCCCCCCCCCCCCCGAAACACACCCCTGAAACACTAGCCCTGGTCACAAACACAGCTTCAACTCAAGTTTTTAATTTGGAAAAAACCAAACACAAAACACTGTAAAGGATGCAAACAGGGAAAGGCAAAAAAGGATCCCACGGAAGCACACTGCCCCACACTTTCTGTAGGGCCACCATGGCCAAGGCTGAGACGTGGTAGTTCCCGCGCTGTCTGAGCCTGAGGGAGAAGCCGGGTGCTGTCCTCACAAGGATGAGCAGCAGGATGCTCTCCTTCATGTTCCACTGCTGAGAACCCTCCAGTATCAGCACCCCGCACCCAGCGCCCCACAGCTAATCACACTGGTAACATCTGTGTGCTCCCTCCTTTGGCTCTGGTGGGAGAGTCAAAGCTTGCCAGGCCCTGCTGTTGGCAGGAATTCCCCACGTAACCCTTTCAGCCTCGGGAAGGTCCCGGGCCAGGGTTCTGTCCTTGCCCTCAAGCTGCTTCAGACCTGCTCTTCTTTTCCCCAAAGGCTTGAGAACACAAACCTCCTCTTAAACCCACTGGGTGTGGGTGGTGTCCTGTCTCCATATCCCAGTGAAAGCCTGGGTGGGCTGCACCTGCCTCTGCAGGGACGAGGTGCCAGGAACAGGTCCCGGTGGCCTAGACCCTGACTCCTGACCGCCCGGCCCCCCCCCCCCGTCCCGCTCCGGCCTATGCTTCCAGCCGAGCTGCACTGTTGAACACACGGAGCTTCAGTTAGATTCAGCTGACCAAGTCTGCAGTGTCTCCAGCGGACTGGCGTTGAAGGACATGATTGTGGGATCGTCCCCCCTAAAGCGGCCCTGGGTTATGAGAGACTGGACCTGTGTATTCAGAACACAGCTGCGATGAACGATGCTAGGTGTGCCCGACTAGCTGTGTCCCAGATGTGCTGGCCACTCTATGGACACCTGGGACAGATCATGCTCTGTGAGGGACAGCCCAGCAAATGGTCACTCACAGAAAAGTCCTCTTAGGGAGAAAAAACGAGAGAGCAAAGGCCCGGAGCCCTCTTCTGCACTGGAGAGCGAGTACTTGGAGGGCCTGGGAGTCCCAGCATGTGTTCCAGGCCATCTACGTCCTCCCCAAACCCAGGTGTGGAGGCCCTGGTCTCGCCGTCACAGATGCGTCTCTGCCTTCCTCCTGGAAGCCAAGTGGGGGGAACAGGGCAGCTGCGGTGACTGAGCCCCCTGCCACTTCTTTAGCGCCCTGTAGGCCTGCACGGCCCGCTCTCTCTCTTCCCCAATAATCCGCTGCCGGGCCAGTGACGTGGTCAGAGGCTGGGACACGCCACCAGGGCTCAAAAGCATCCTCAGCATCAGCGATTTCTTCCCAGGCTAAAGAACAGAGATGGAAGGTTGAGGCACAGTTGGGGAAAGAGGAGAGATAAGAAAGGGCCCATGTTGGTCCTCTAGCTGTATGCCCAGTGAGAACATGGCATCCCGCGTGTAGGCCCCGGACCACACGGCCCTGGGGGACAGCCAGGGCAGCTGCCCCTGCTTACCTGACCCCGACTTGTGCTCGTCCTGGGCTGGGCGGTCAGTTCTGGGGGCTGCAGGGCAACCTCGCCAAACTGCACCGTGTCTGGAGAGGCAGAGGAACACAACTGATGCCTCTGGCCACGCAGCCACCCATCCGCTGCCCCCCACTGCCGAGGCATAGGCCCGGGGCCCACACGATCACTTCAGGAGGACCTACCTCGGAACAGCTCCCGCTCCAGCCCTTCTGCGGCCTTCTCCTCCCTCCGCCGCCGGACTCTATCCAGCCGCCGTTTCTGGAAGCTGGGGAAGAAAGCACAGTGCTGTTCAGATTCCCCAAGTCTCATCTCATGGGACTCAGAAGGCGGAGGTCACCCATGCCCAGGAGGTTGCCCCACAGCAGAGCCCAGCTAGCTCCTGCCAAGTCCCCACTCTAGCGACCGCCTGCCCCTCACAGCCGGGCGCTCAGAAGAGCAGGCCTCCGGGGTTCCAAGGCCACATTCTTGGGGGGGGCGACTGTGCCCCCAGAGCACCTCTGACGGCGTCTGGAGACGTTCTGGGTTGTCCCAATGGGGGGGGGGTGCTCCTGGCACCTCGGGTAGAGGCCAGGCTGTCGCTCCACACCCTCAGCGGCCCCCACCCCAGACAATCTCTGGCCCCACGCGTCGCCTGGGCTGCTGCATCTGAAGGGTCTCGCAGAGCAGCGCTGTGTTTGGGGGGTGGCTGTGGCCCCGGATGGTGCGTGGTTCAGGTTTTCTGTGATGTACTTTTCGTCACTTGGCCCGACCACGAGCACAAAGAGCGCTCAGATGCGGCAGCGCCCCGGGACCGCAGACCATCTCCGACTCCCGCAGCTGTGACAGACACTCCGACGAAAGCTTGGGTCCGCCCACCTCAAAGGCTGCAGCGGTGGCAGAAACATCTCAAAAAGCCCTTGTTTGTCAAAACCACCTCCCCGCCCGCGCCCACAGGCCCAGGGAGGTGGCACAGGGCTTCCTTCCCAGACTTCTCCAGGGCTGAGGGGCAGGGGAGCTACAGCGGGCGGTGGGCTCCCTCCTGGTGCCAGATGCCGCCCTCAGGAGCCCTGCAAGGACTTTATCCGAGCCCCCGCTGGAGATGCCGGTATCCCCGCTTTACAGATGAGGCACTGGAGCTGAAAGAGGTCGCAGGAATTGTGTGGATGGCACAGCTGAAGGCCCTCAAACTTCTTTCATGGAAAGGACCCCAGTCCAGGTCCTCGAGGAGGTGGTGTCAGCCAGTCAGAAGCAGGGGAACCCCAGAGCTGCGTGGGATCCCCCAGTGGCCAGCAAGCCTTCCTGAGGGACCACCAGCCTCATCTTTTCCCCTCTCTCTATTGCAACTGGCCAGGGTGGGCAGCAGGCCCTTGACCTCATCTGGCTCTTGGGCCCCTTTGATGCTTTCCCAGAGAAAGGCAAAGACAAATCTGGCCCTTCAGAGTTCCGTGGGCTCGGAGACTCCCTGAACCCCCAGGGTTGAAAAGCTCTGACGTAGAGAAAAACAGGTTTTCACTTCTCTCTGTGCTCCCCCTGAATCGGGGTGGGGTGGGACTCCCCCAGGAAGAAAACACTATCGATGCAGAGAACGGTCAGGGGACCCCCAACCCCACTCCACTCACGCTTTCTTCCGCTCCGACTTCTTTCTGGGAGCTTCCTGCACCTCGGGCTGCCGGGCCACCTGGTTCTTGCTGAGGAAGAGCACGTGCTGGGCCTCCTCCTCCATTCGCTGGATATAGGCCCTGTCAGACTCCCACTTCCTCTGCTGGAACTTGGGGACAGCGATGTCCGGCTCGGCTCCTTTTGCTTCCTTCTCCAGCGTCTTTCTGAAGGCTGCCTGGGCTGAGACCAAAGGGAGAGGTCAGGCGGTGTGGTGCCAGGCTGGCCAGGGCCACAGGGAAGGAAGACCAGACTCAAGGGGGGGCAGCTCGGACACCCATGTGGATGGGAGCCCCACAGCCCACTGCTGCAAGTCACAGATGTCCACCACAGCTTGGTTGAGAAAGAAAATAGGAAAGAACCTGAATGTTAATCATCAACGGGGGACTGGTTGAATAACTACCCTATCTTCATGCGAAGACTTCACTGCACAAACCCAGAACATTACGCAATGCACAGAATGAACATGTAGCTTTCCTATCCTAAGTATGTGAAAATGTGCAGGATATTTCTCTTGGGCAGGCACAGCAGAAAATGAACAGCGCTTTCTTTCAGGGCAAAAGAGCAGGATTCAGAGACAGGGAGGGAGGCCGTGCTGTCCATCATACTGTACACCCGTTTGCTTTACCACGTATGAGTTTATGTCTTAAATCACCAAAAACAAGAGCCAGCTCCGTAAAGCACAGTTCAAATTGTGGTTTCTTCTGCTGGGGCCGGTGTGCATCCTCTACTTCTCACCTTCCCTGCCTCTTTCTGTCACCGTCTCTTTGATGCTCATACAACCCTGAACGAAAAGCATGAGGTTTACAAAGAAATTATAAAA